ATTTCTTTTCATTAAAAGATTTGGGTGAGATAAAGAGAATCAGGGAAGAGAAAGACTTGTGATTTCAAGTAACAATTGATTCAAAAATGGTCAAATCCAAATGGCTGAAACTAAGCATGGGGACAATCAGGGGACAAGAAAAGCCAAACTGAAGGGACTGGGCAAAAAATATAGTAAAGACAGCAAAATTGTTTCTGATGGTCCTAAGATTAAAAAGTAACAGCCAAAAAAGGATGCAGCGCAACAGGATGCTGAACTCCAGAAAAGCAGATTTTAAAGGGAGTAGATCTGGGTTTGAAGCAAATCCTGAATTCAAGTTATGTTTTAATGAGTAATCCTAATAATAGCTATTTGGTCATTACCTCCAGTGCAGTGTTCCAAGTGTCCACTAGAGGGCACATAAAAACCTATTTATTCCCCCAAAAAGTAGGGAAACTTGCTTCTGTGGAAGATTCTGGCACATTTGATGGTAGTATCCTGAACCTTAGCACTGCCTGGATATGCTGGTATGGCATCATGATAAGGAGGAGTATATTAAACAAATCTGTGAATTCATACTGTTGCTTCCAGTGGTTGTTTTTTCAAATACATATGGTCCTATCTATCCACGATGAGTTAGGAGTCAAAAGAGTTAATAAAAGCAGAAAGATCAAATGATCCACAATAGGTGAACATGAGAAATTTGCTTTTCTGCTGCCTTTAATCAAACCATTTTAGCATGGTTTATTAAATTGGAAATCACTTGCCTGCAACTATTTGCAAACCCAACTGATAGACATGTAGCAGGAGAGTTGTAAGAAAATAGTGGGAGGCCAATTTTCTACATATTAATTCACTGGTAGGAACAAATGCTATTTCCTACTCAGTATTTTAAAGAGAGACTTGGACTTCATCCTGTCACTGCAAGGACTCACATATAATAGTTATTTGGGAATGGAAATGACTGAGATGTGATATGACAGCTATTTTAAAATATTTTATGGATTATGTTTGTTTACAAGGAATACAACATGAACCAATGAAATCAAATTTCCACAAAAGAAATTAGGAAGATTGTTAAACAGAACAAATTCATGTTTCAAGAAGGCTTTTCATACGGTTTTGGAAAGACAAAGGTTTTTCTTGACCATTTCAAAAGTATATGCTAGTTGAAAATAGAAAGTCTGCATAAACAGACTGATACTGAACAAGAGAGGAAGAGAGGTAGAAACAGATACAGACAGTCCCCAAGTTACAAACAAGATAGGTTCTGTAGGCTTATTCTTAAGTTGAGGATTGTTGTGGAAACAAGGATTGGTGAGAAAATTTCAGTTGAGACACTTTTTCCCCATGATAACTCTTTCAGGAGTGAATTCCCCTTCTGAGTGGTAGATTTATTTCACTTCCTGTTGTCTCTCCCCCATTCTTAAGTATGAGTTGTTTGTAAGTCAGATGCTTATAACTCAAGGACTGTCTGTCTACTCTAGGAGATAAACCCTTGGGCATTGCCTCTTTAACAGAACATCTGATACCAAAGGCAGAAATAATGTGGAAAGAATAGGGATAGGTCTCTACACCACAAAAGAAAAAGCAGTTCAACATGTTTCAGTATGCATTTTATCCAAAAATATGTTTCAGCATACATTTCATAAAAAACAAAGAGCTCTGGTAAGCTCAGGTAACAAAGTTGATATGGTAAAGTGGTTACGAGACTGTACTGTAAATTATGAATGGCGATTAGACCAAGCCCTATGAAGAGAGAGTGAGGGAACTAGGTGTGCTTACACTGGAGGGCAGATGACTGAGATGTGATAGGATAGCTATTTTTAAATATTTGATGGACTATGATACAGATGGAGCACGTTTGTTTACAAAGAATACAACCTGAACCAATGAAGTCAAATTTCCACAAAAGACACTTTGTATGAAACGTTAGAAAGACCTTTGTGATGGTACAAGCTGTTTAACACACTAGAACAGACTGCCTGGATATTCTTCGTTATACGTTTTTAACAAGAGGCTAATTGCTATTTATCAGGGATGATCAAATAAAAGACTTCCTGCACTGATGGGAGATGAGCTAGAAGGCCACTGAGGTCTGCAATAACAAGAAATTAGGAAGATTCTCAAACAAATTAGCAAATATGGTTATCTATATAGCTCTAAAATGGGCTCACATCCTTACATATAGTGCCATCTACCTGAATAAAGGTATGCTGGAACTATGAGACTCACCAGCCACTCTTTAAAGTTGTATTCGGATGTCATACATCATCAGACTGACTTAAGGAATGAAGCAGTGGAGGTCCCAAATGGGTGAGGCTGAGAGAAGTGGTACGAAGCAAAATCTCCACATAGTTGTTATTAACTAGCTTTAAGATGTCTTTCACTTATGGTGACTATAAATTCGAGACTTCCAAGTGACCTTGTCTTAAAGATTCAGGGCTAGAACTTCCTTGGTTGAGTCTATCTATCTGGAATGTAGTCTTCCTCTTTTGCTACTGGCTTCCACTTCATCAAGTATTATCATGCTTTATATTGAGTCATCTCTTCTCCTAATACGGACAAAATACAATAGGCTCAGCTTAGTCATCTTGGCTTTTAGGGAAAGTTCAGGCCCAATTCATTCTAAGATCCAATCCACCATTTATCTAACTCTAAAGCCTTGTTCCTCAATGTTTTTAAAGGTTTCCTTAACAATATTTCAAAGCCATAGAAAGAACAGTGCAAACTGAGCTGAGTGAATAGTAATAGGTTGGTTTGAGGCCCAAGTGTGCCATTTAAGCACTAATGCTTTGCTCTGCTTGGCTCACACATGAACACGGAGTCCAACAGTGTAATTTTAACTGAATGTCAATTAAAAATTAAAGGCTACAGTGCTCAAAACAAAAAAATTGAGGACAAGAACACACAAGATGTCTCTGTAAAGTGGCTTTCATAGCATACGCTTTTATAGTCATGTTGAATAAAAAATTAGGGATGCTATTTGTGGCTCTGACAACATTAACACAGAACAAATTTGGGGATGAAATATTAACCTGTCAAGCAAGGTTTACCAATGGCTTCTGGCTTTTTGTTATAATAAATTGGATTCACCAGGTATCTTTTCTATTCTCAGGACCACTCCTACTAGTGAATGAAACAGGACTAAAGATATGGCACCTAAAGTTCACTTTAATCCTTTCATGCAAGAATATGACCACTATCAACCAATAAATTATTTTGAATGGCCTCCTATTGGCTCTGCCAGAAGTCAATCTTTTGGCGGTGGCAAAGCAGCAGTGAAGGTGGGAGAAAGAGAAAAGCATGATTGTAAAGCGGAATGTAGAAGGACAACCAACAGTTTGGAGGAGGAAGGGTCCCTGGCACTGAAGGATTGGTACTTCTGACAATCACTAGTGTCATACAACAAAGCATCATCTAAAGGATTGATAATATTTTTTCCCTACATGCTAAGGACTAATACCATATTTGTGCACATTGGTTACCACTGTTTCTTTCTTTCTTGGAAGCTCTCAATGGATCAGCACCAGTTCAGAGACTATTTTAGCACAGGTCTAAGCAATCTCTCTGATAGTGCCTTGGCTCTCTCTGAGGACTGATCGTACATCAGAAGTCAGACATTGAGAAGTAAATGGAGCAAAGTGTGCACTTCCTTCCTTCCTTTTTTCCTTCCTTCCTTTCTTCCTTCCTTCCTTGGACACTGGCCACCAATTCCTTTCTCTGTCTGAAGCAATGAAGCTGAGAGGAATGTTGTTTTACTACAGTATACAAACAAAATTCTGGTTTTCATATTTTTCCCTAAAGAAATTAAGCAAAATGAAGCTAATTTACATCAGACACATAACAGAAGAGGCAACAATTGCTGCAAGAGGACTCTTCATAGAAACTATTTCACCGCTTCTAGGACTAAAACCAACAGATATGTATTGTACATTTCATCTTTTCATTTTTCATTAATCTGCAGCTTTTCTTGGTGCAGAAATAATGCAATTCAACTGAAAGACGTTGGGCTCTGCTCTCAACTATTCAGGACTTCTCGCTATAAAGAGTCAGTATGTGTAAAGAAAAGTGCTTTGGAAGATGCAGTGGTGATGTTTTCCAAACCCAAAGAAATGTTATTGTGTTTATATTATAGGAAATAAGGTAATGCATTGCTATGAATGGTATATAGAGTAGACAAGCACTCTGCTGGGAGGTGGAAGCATAAAATATTGGAAATCAGTGGTGACTTGGTGAGAATTTGAATGTTTTTTTTTTAAAAAAAGCAAATGTTTTGAATCAGTTAGGTTGAGTTAATGAGAGTTAATGAGAGTTTGGATTTAGATAAATAAAAGTTCAGTTTCAGTAAGAGAACAATTTATTCAGTTCTATATAGCTAAGAGTTATAAGTTAGGTCAGGTTTTATTCAGAATAATTATTGTTAGGATAGAGTTCTATACTTATGCTTCTATATTTCTGCTTGGCATTTCTAGTTCTTCCTAGAATGCAGTAAGAAATGTGTTTTATAGAGAAACAATCCGCCAAGCTCCCAACTACAGTAAGAAAGGAGAAAGCACAGAGGCACTACTACTTAACTAGGCACACTGAGAATAACTCTATAGTTCAAGGCAGAAGCCAAAGATGCCTCAGACTCCTCATCAACATGCATATTTTAAAAGGTATTAGACTTTGCAGCTCTCAAAGACATCAGTAAAAAGAAACAAGGCAATGCATCAGTCAGAAACACTGTATGTCTGAAGAGCTACTGCATTCTTTCTGATCCACATTGCATATTTTGTCTACACACCCTGGTTCCCTCCTCTTGTTTAACATAACAACAAATGTAAAATCACATGAGATGTCCACTATACTATTTCTATTACAAAACAAGGTGTCTGGAAAGAAAAAGGTTAGAGAAAAATGAGATTTTTGTCTTTTCTTCTTTTATGATGTTTCAAAGAATATGTGTTAGGAATATAAATAGAAATTATAGATATAAATTTGAAGTTATTGTCATAGATCGCTGAAGTAGTACTCACCCCTGGCTGCAATCAGTCATAAGGTGCGTCCAATTCACATATTGTCAATGAAATGAGGAAGAAGAAAAGTATAAATCAGAACAAATAATCAAATCACATATAGCATGAACAAGATTCAACCCACACCATGCCCTCAAATACCTCCAAGTCCTACATCCATTAAAAGGTCAAACAAAAATTGCATCAAACTACATGTCCCATTTTCCCACATTCCAAATTAGAAAAAGGACCAGTTTTAAAGCTAATTCTGGGCTTAAATAAGATGAAAACTGGAAATACTGAGTATCAAAATACCACTATATTTATCAATAGCATGTCCAAATTCAGAATAACATGAATAACATGAATAAATTCAGAATACGCTCAACCTGAAAAGGTGAACAAAACAAGTAGCAAAACAAATACAAAGAGAATCAAGCAGTGAATGCAAAGACAATCAAGCAACAAGGGGACCATTTTATGGCCTCTTTGGAAATACCTATTAGGTTTTTAAAGGACAACTAAAAAAATCAAATATTATAAGATGTGAAATATAAAAGGGGAGGGGAAGAGAGTAAATGAAAATTGTTCAGCCTGAATACAAAGTCTTAAAGGTCATTCACTAAATTGTGTAGATCATAACTTCAACAAGAGAGGACCATCTCCAAAATCCATAGCTGTAAAACACGATCCATAGCAAGGTGTAGCAGGGATTTTTAAAATATAGTAGGACCAACTTCCATGATAGCCAAACAATCTTTTAAATGTCACTTCTGTATTAAAAGTTAGTACCTAATCATAAGGGTTTGGAGCCAAAAAAGTCATGCCTTATTTATGATAGCCAGTTGTGCAGAGAAATGATAAGTAGGTCTTTCGTCTTTTTAATTAATCCTTTGTGATCTTCGTAGAACCTATCTTGTCTGTAACCTGAGAACTGTCTATACCTTTCTAAAAGGAGGTGGAAATTAATGATATATATGGATATAATTTATTTGAAATTTAATAAGAATTTTAAATGTTTTTATTTTATGGAATGTCTGTGCTTTCATCTGTAGTTTTTTTTTAAAGTTGTGAATAGTTTTGAATCACAGTTATGGAGAAGAGAAACACTATTGATACAGCTGAATTTTAAATATTATGATTGTTCAAAAGAACATATATAGAAGACAAGTGACCAAGATTCTGTTTCCAGCCATTAGCCTGGTCATCCACTGTAGCCACCTGATTCTTCTTGAAATCACCTATTCCTGCTTACAAGAGCACCACTTACATTTGGCTTGTGCACTTGAGAAGGCAAGAGTCAGTTTGGCAAAGAGTTCATCATTCTCAAAACGATCCTCCTTAGCTTTGGCCCAGAAGCAGTCTTCTGATAACTCCTGAGCTGTAATCTATAAAGGAGAGAAGACATTCAGAATTTCTAGACACACGTCCATATAAACTGCAGAACATGCTTCTATGGCAAATAAACAGCTTTTAGGTTTGTTTTTTAAAGAAACATTGTGGGGCAGATGTATCATAATATCAACTTTTGCGCAGCAGAACTCATGTTACCAGACTTAAATAGTGTTAGCCTAAAGTTGCAGACAGATTTATAAACTGGTAATTGTTGGCAAATATTATTTTATTCACTTGGGGATTGGCGAATTGTGCTAGTTTCACAATTACTAAATTAGCACTTGCCAGTTTGGATGACGATATCATTACCAGTAAGTGTAATTGGCTCACAATTCTTTTCTTGTATATATTCAAACCTTGCAGATTAATAAATATTTATGGAAATATTAGCTCTGTTTTTTCTATTTTAAATCTGTTTATAGCAAATTGATAGTCTACTTTCTAATCGAAAAAGTTCCTCAAAACAGGACAGTAAAACTAATCAGGACCATAAAGAAGATCAAAAACAGGAGCTAGCTCATGAACAGAAGCAGCAAGGGGGTGTATATCTCTAATAATAAAAATATTAATTTTTTTTTGAAAAAGTCAGTCTTTAACACCTTATAGCAAGATTGGTAAGGGAGAGCGGCCAGGACAGACTAATTCAATAGCCTGGGTTGCAACCAAGAGGATTTGCCCTGCCTTTCCACTAATCATACTTTAGATGTTGAGAGAGAATGAAAAAGGGCCTTCTTCCAAGATCTATAGTGAACAGATTCAATGTGGAATAGATTATCTTTACTTATCAAAGTAATATTTCATATCAAGTATTAAAAAGGGTTGACATTTATATTTTTTGAGCAACGTAGGGTAAAGTTTCATGCATCTGACAAATTGAGTCCTAACTCACAAAAGCTTATATTTCAATAATTCTAGCAGTCTTGAAGATAAGGTGCTGCCTTGCTTCCTATGCTCTCAAACATTTTAAAAGCACTATCTTAAAAATCTATAATCAATTCACTGGGGAATTTCTCTCAGACCTCCGCACCATAAGATCATGTAATTTAGATTAGTTACACATGGAGAGGAGCAAGCTTCCGAATAAAACTCTCTTCATCCCCAACAAATGCCACAGTACTACATAGAAAAGGGGAAGGCATTTCAAGTAACACTACAGGACAAAGGCTGTAACATGGCTGGGATAAAAAGAACAGTAACCAACAATATAGGAAGCCTATCTAGGAATCAGCCAGCTGAACACCACCTTAGACCAGTTAGTTCTCCGTAGCTGAACTTCTGGCTTGTAAAGCTTCTTTGGAGTCAATCCAAATGGCAGAGCTGGAGCTGCAGTTGTCATGGCCCCAAATGCAGGTGGCATGGGGGGAGGAGGCACTCCAAGAGGCGGTGGTGGTGGAGGCACCCCAGCCATTCCAGGAAGAGGTGGAGGTGGCGGTGGCATTCCTGCCATCCCTGGTAGAGGTGGTGGAGGAGGTGGTCCACCTGCCATACCAGGGAGAGGTGGAGGTGGAGGTGGCATTCCTGGCATGCCAGGTAGAGGTGGGGGTGGGGGTGGTACTCCTGCCATCCCAGGCAGAGGAGGTGGTGGCGGAGGTGGCGGTGGAATTCCTGCTGCTCCAGGGAGAGGCGGTGGAGGAGGCACTGCTGCTGCTCCAGGGAGAGGCGGTGGAGGAGGTATTGCTGCTCCTCCAGGAAGAGGTGGGGGAGGGGGCGGAGGAGGAGGCACTGCTGCTCCTCCAGGGAGAGGTGGCGGAGGAGGTGGTGGCGGAGGAGTAGGAGAAACCTCTGCCACTCCAGGTGAAACAGATGAAGAAGTCATGTTCTCTATTTTCTTCTTAAGGTCCTCAAGTTCTTGCATCAGAGAAGCAATCTGTAAAGATAGGGGAGAGATTCACAGTAAGTTAGTTTAGCAGAATATCACATTCCCAACCCAACACCTGTGAAGAGATGTAGGGCTTAAATCCTGGCAATCAGGTTGAGAGCATCTGGATAAAAATTAAGAGTGAGAACGAGAAAAGATGTAGTTTGGGGGTCTACTACAGACCTCCAAACCAGACTGAAAACCTGGATGGGGCCTTCCTTGAAGAGATGACTACACATGCAGAAAAAAGAGAGATCGTAATAATGGGAGATTTCAACTATTCTGATATTTGCTGGTAATCAAAATCTGCCAAGAATACAAAGTCCAACAAATTCCTTACTTGCCTTACAGATAATTTTATTGTCCAGAAGGTGGAATACACAAGAAGATCAGCTATTCTGGATGTGAGTCTAACCAACTCTGAATACCTGGTCAATGGAAGGAAAGTGGTGGGATCCTTAGGTGGCAGTGACCATGTTCTCATGAAATTTGTGATACAGAGAAAAGGGAAAACTAAGAGAAGTCAGACATGCATTCTGGACTGTAGGGGAACTGTTTTCAGGAAATGTAGGGAAATACTGAGTGTGATATCATAGATAAGAATACTAAAAGGGAGATAAGAACGGGTGGGAGTTTCTTAAAAGCATGATACTGAAGGCACAACTGCAAATAGTGCCAACAAGGAGAAAAAAGAAGTCTAAAGAAACCAGAATGGATGTCCAAAAAACTTTTAATTGAGCTAAGCTATAAAAGGAATAAGTAGAAGAAACGGAAAAGGGTGGAAATCACCAAAGACAAATTCAAATGAATAGGCAAAAGATCTGTAAGGCTAAAATGAGATCAGGCTTGTCAGAGAAACTAAAAGCAAAAAGGTTTTTTTTTTTTTGTTATGTCAGTAGAAAAAGGATGACCAAGGAAATGATAGGGCCCCTGCATGTAGAAGGTGGTGAAATGATGACAAGGAATAGGGAAAAGGCGGAACTGCTCAACACCTTCTTTGCTTTAATCTTCTCCCAAAAGAAAATGAGTCTTCAATATGAGTAATATGGAGTGGACATTGCAATAAGAGGAAACACAACCCAAAATAGAAAAAGTAGTAGTCAAGGAATACCTGGCTACTCTAAATAAATTCAAGTCCTCAGGGGCAGATGAATTACATCAAAGAGTATTGAAGGAACTAGATTTCATAACCACTGACAATAATCTTTGAAAATTCTTGGAGACATGAGAAGTCTCAGCAGACTGGAGAAGGGCAAATGCTGTCCCTATCTTCAAGAAGGGACAAAAAAGAGGACCCAAACAATTATCATCCAGTCAGCTGGACATCAATACCAGGAAAGATTCTGGAGCAGATCATCAAGGAGGTGGTCTGCAATCACTTAGAAAGGAATGCTGTGATTACTGAAAGTCAACATGGATTTCTCAAAAACAAGTCATGCCAGACTAATCTTATCTCTTTTTTCCCCAAGAAAGCTACAAGCTTGGTAGTTGCAGGGAATACTATGGATGTAGCACATCTCGATTTCATTAAGGCCTTTAACAAGGTCCCCCATGATATTCTTGCAAACAAACTAGTAAAATGTGGGCTAGATAATATTACTGTTAGGTGGATTTGTAATTGGATGGGTGACCAAACCCAAAGGGTGCTCACCATGTTTCCTCTTTATATTGGAAAGAAGTGGTGAGTGGAGTGTTGAAGGGTTCTGTTCTGCGCCCAGTGCTGTTCAACATTTTTATTAATGACTTGGATGAAGGTTTAGAGGGCATGTTTGTCAAGTTTGCAGATGATACCAAATTGTGAGGAATAGCTAATACTCCAGAAAACAGGATCAGAATTCAAAATGACTTTAACAGATTGGAGAGCTGAGTCAAAAAAACCAAAAATGATACACTTAGGCAAGAAATATAAAATTTAGAGATACAGGATGAGTGACACATGGCTGGACAACAATACATATAAACAAGAGCTTGGAGTCTGATGCAGCAGCTAAAAAAATGCAATTTTGGGCCACATCAAAAGGAGTATAGTATATATATCAAGGGAAGTAATGATGCTCTCTATTCTGCTACGGTTAGATCTCACCTGGGAACCACAATTCAAGCGAGATATTGACAAGCTAAAATGTGTCTAGAGGAGGGCAACTAAAATGATCGAAGACCATGCCCTATGAGGAGTGGCTCAAATAGCTGGGTATGTTTAGCCTGCAGAAGGTTGAGAGGAGAGATGATCGCCATGTATGTGAAAGGATGCCGTTAGGAAAAGGAAGCAGGCTTGTCTTCTCTGGCCGTGGAGACTAGGACTTATAGAAATGAGTTCGAATTATAGGAACGGAGATTCTACCTGAACATTAGGAAGAACGTCCTGACTGTAAGAGCTGTTAAGTAGTGGAACTCTATGCCTTGGAGGGTGGTGGAAGCTCATTCTTTAGAGGCTTTTAAGCAGAGGCTGGATGGCTAACTGTCAGGGGTACTTTGTGCTTTTCCTGCATGGATGGGGATTGGACTAAAAGGCCTTTGGGCCTCTTCCAATTCTACTATTCTATGAAGAAAAAATAAACTTTGCAGAAACTCGTGAACTTTAATTTACTTTATCAGCTGTAAAAATATTAAATTATTATCCAATTTATCAACTTAACTACTAAGCTACGGTTTATGTTATATATACTACACAGCCCCCTTAGGTCTTTCGTAATGTTATAGCATCATCTTATCCTTCAAGAGCCCTCTAAGTTAATTAAAAACTGAAATGACAGACAAGCTGTCTTTGATGTCATGGGCCTTTTTTACACAACATCTGTTCTACAGTAATAGAGGCTAGGCTTTTTAGAATCTGTGTAGGGGAAACTATGTGTCTTTGATTCCCTTATTCCAACATAAATTCAAATGATCATTATAACATTTGCCCAAAGCTACATTTTGCCCCGACCCGTACTTGATCATTCAGCAAGGAGGTAGTATTTTCCAGTCTTTGTTTCTCTGAGGAGACTTGCTCTTTCTCTGATTCCAGGCTTTCTTTCTCATGAAGTAAATCTTGTAATTTTTGCTCCAAATCATTTTCCTTTTTCTTCATTTCCACTTGCAGTTCATGACGTGCTGTCAACTCAGAATCCAACTGAGGGGAAGAAACATTATATATTAATCATTTCTATAGATTCCATGTTGGTTAGATCTCATGCCACAGACTCTGCATCCCTTTGAACAATCTCATTTTGAGAGCAATGGAAACTTAAATACAGTACAGTCTCGCTTATACAACATAAACGGGCCAGAAGAATGTTGGATAAGAGAAAATGTTGGATAATGTTGAATGTTTGCCGTCTATATGCTGTGCTCCTTCAGGGCGAGAAGGGTGGAATATAAATGTTTTAAATAAAATAATAATAAATAAAATAAATAATCAGGAGGGATTAAAGAAAAACCTATTAAACGTCAAATTACATTATGATTTTACAAATTAAGCACCAAAACATGTTTTACATCAAATTGACAGAAAAAGCCATTTGATACACGATAACATTATGCAGTAGTTACTGTATTTATTAATTTAGCATCAAAACATTGCAATGTATTAGAACAGCTGTAGTTCCAGGCAGGAGGCAAACTGTGTTGAATACAGTACATTGGATGAGCAAAGGTTGGATAAGCAAGACTCTACTGTATCTATATTCCAACTTTATCTTATATTTCACTCTTTTTGTCCAAGGAAGGGCAAAAAGAGTGAAAGCTGATACCATTGGAGATGAAATGGATTTTATAAACAGAATTTGTTAATGAAAAAATAGATGTAACAGACTTTGTTGACAGTAACAAAAAGGCAGATGGAGGAAACATCAGGAGGAACAAAGTGATTCAACTTGTGAAAAAGAAGCAAAAAACGAACTTGATGCTAGATTAAAGTAGTGTTTAAGGTTATGTTTCACTATTAATATGTTGTTATAGTACCAAAATATGAGACGGGTAATCTCCTAATTAGAATGGAAATTCTCTGCTTTTTTTTTCTTGGAAGGAAAGTGGTTCCAATTCATCCTTCACAAGTTGGATGTAGTTGGTTTTCTGTGCCTTATTTTGTATGTGAGTTTGTGGAAACCATTTGAAATGTTTTTCTTAAAAGAAAAGGAGGAACTAGATTTCAAATAATCTATTAAAATAAATCAAAATTACTTCCTAGTGGTAATTCTATGCACAGAGCAATGGGAAGGTAAGCAATGCCCACATGGAAAAAAAAAGCAGATGATAATACCTATACGAAGCTTCCTTAAGTTGGATTGTGAACTGTCTACTTCAGCATTGTGCTGGAATCAGCAACAACTATGCAGCATTTCCTAATATCTCTGGCCAAGATATTTTTATTTAGATAAGTGGGGAACTAAATCTGAGACCCTTGCAAGGCAAGGGACCTTCCCCTACGTTATATACAATGTCAGAATTGTGGTTGTTATTAAGCATTCAAGAGTTCTTTAACTTTAACTTTACTCTATCATAGAACTCTTCAACAGAAGCATTTTCACTTTGATATAACCCCCTGCCAGATGGGACATAACTCATGTTGAGAGAGTAGAGTACACATCAATTATAACTGAGACAAATATAGACCCATTACCATCCCTTCATGTCTGTGAAGGAAACATCTCCTTTATAAATCTCAAGGAGTTGCAACAGAGTGAAGCAAAGGGTGAACTAAAGATAATAATTATTACTTCTGAAGTGCACCAGAAATTAAGCAGTGTGTCAGGACTGCACTAAAACCAAACAAATGTTGTCCCCTGACTCACTGCCTAATAGGCAAGTTAACATGGGAAGGGGACAGAGAAGCAAAGGCAGGGATTAGATGAAGAAGTCTGCGAACAACATAAGGAGAGGAAAAGTGTAGTTGTGTTGTGACAAAGAATGCCAAATAGATCAGGAAGCAGGACATAAAGGTATGAATTATAACAACTAACACAAAGTCTAACCATGAAGTATTCACAGAGCAAAGTGTAACAAAGAGGGATTGATAGCACAAGTTAGAAAAATGTCAAAAACTGAAGAGATTTTTTAAAAAAACAGCAAGGTTTTGTGACTTGATTAAGAACAGAAATGAGTACAACAAGTGGCAAATCTAAAAAAGGGTAACATGAAAGGGCTGCATTGGTAATAACCTTTTTTTCCAGTTCAATAGCTTTAGCCTCACTTTTTGCCACCTTAGTTTGATCGATCAGGTTATCTACAGAAAAAGAAAAATAAATGAGTCAATAGCAAATTAATAAGTAAAACCTTTCTTCTGTGTAGCCAATCTTTCAGGGCACTGCTCATTTTACAGATTTGCCTATTCTTGATCTTCCTCACATCTAGACACAATCTAAGCCAATTCAGGATGTATTTATACATCTGCTTATCTTATATTCATATACCTTTCCCTCAAGGTTATGCAGTTTGCACAACAGACTGGTGGAGAGATATCTTTCTTTCCATCTAAGGATAGGGACAAGAGTAAGATAAGATGTTTTTATTGTTATGTTCATATGCGGCATTGAATTTTGCCGGTGTCTGTAAGGCATCTTGAGTCCCTTGCGGAGTGAGAAAGACAGGGTATAAATGAAGTAAATAAATGGTGTACTATTATTTCATATCATGGTAGGTGGAGGAAATGGGAATAAAAGTAAATAAATAAATAGATATATTATTGAAGGCTTTCATGGCCGGAATCACTGGTTTGTTGTAAGTTTTTTCGGGCTGTATGGCCAGGAGAGAATGCCTCTAGACAATGGCCATACAGCCCGAAAAAACCTACAACAAACCAAAAAAATAGATGTCTGCAGAGAAAACTATGTCCAGACTCACCTATCAGTCCCTCAATATGAAGATCAAGATGCTTGCGCCTGAAGTCTGGGTCGGCACCATTTTTATGCAGGACTATCTGTGAAATGCATTCATCAATCAATTTAAAATACTGAGGCCTAAAAGCAGGAAAAAGAAAAGGGAAGATGCTTAGTGCTGGTGTTTAGAAGTACTGGCCTCCTAGAACAGGTAGGCCTATCCCAGTTTCTATAGATAACTCTGTAGGTTCCACTTACTGCCATTTCCCACCAAACACCATGAGAGTACTACTGGAATATGCTCCTGTTCATTTCTCTTCCTACTCCCAGCAATTAGTTGCAATTTGCTTCAATTAAATTATTTGAGCTGCCAAATTAGGTTCTCTCAGTTCTATGGCATAAGACATCTTTTTTCTGACAAAGATACTCCCAAAACCTATAGCACATAAATGCATGCAGAATGTACATCCTCATGAGGCAGTCTGAATTCTGCTCCTCCATCTAAAAAACTGAAGCGTCTGCTCAGAAAGCTCTTGTTGTTGAGTCAGTTAATGTATAACAAATAAATGAACAAGTCAGTGTTATTTACTTCTCTTCAATTATCCTTTAGGCATTTTAAAAACAATTTATATCTTTACCTGGCCTCATAATCATTACGGACTAGCAGGAGGTGCTGCAGCATGGAAAGGAAATGCTGCTCTGCCTTAGAATCCTTTACAGTATTGAGGAGAATCTGGAAGACTTCACTGGGGTCAGTGAAAAGTAATGATTAAGGAAGCAAAGACCATATGAATTGGATAGAAAAAAGGAATTAGCATATCCATTGGCCATTAGACAATTTTCAAATCACTTCCCTTCGTGACAAAACCTTGATGATGTTGCCACAGTTGGTCTGTGTTCTATTTAACACAATGGCTCTCTCACTGGATGTTCAAACAGAGAGATAAAGGATTGTGCCCTATTTTGTGCTCCTGGAGGCTTTAGGAGACTATATTTATCTCACTATTTCTTTTAAAGGACATGTTGCTCATCTTTACAATGAGAGCATGATAAAGAAAGGATTGGTATAATGGGTTCAATCATAAGTAGATATTTAAAGTACATATCTATTGTTATTCTTCTATCTTAGAAAAAAATGTTTCCATTTCTATACCTATTTCAGACATTTCGTAGTGGCCAAATTCACAAAAATCTCCACCATATCACATACAAAAGGAAAGCATATTCCTTATTGTGCTTGGTATAAACCCTCTTCATCAAGACTTCTACTGAGCCTCTGATTTCCTCATCTATCACTTTCCCTCTATCTCTTTCCTCTTTGCTTCCCTACTGACTGGCAGTTTCCAGGGCTAACTGTGGCATGCAAGCAAACTACTGAATTTCATTGCACAATACTCTCACTTTTTATCCTTTTTTCTTAGATCAGTGTAACACATGGAAACACTCGTGTTTGCAAAGACCTTTGCCTCCCCCCTCCCTGCAAAAATGAAACTTGAACCAAAGGCATATGTTCTGGATGCTGTGCCTATGCCAGGAAGTGACATGGAATCATACTAGAAGAAAGTTAGGAAGACTGAAATGCAACCAATATGCTTGGCAGTGTGAAAGGACAGGACAAATAGTCCAAAGAGCTTATCACTGAAAACAAATACATAGCAGAAAAAGGATATTCAATTTCTACACGAACGTCCTCCAATCGGCCTCTGAGATCAGCAGAATCTTCCTCTCCACTTTCTTCAAACACTTGCAGCTGAACCGATAGTTCCTCATTGTCCAGAGCATGCAGTTCCTAGAAAGGCCAAAGGAACATCAAAGGCTGTGCAATATGTATGAAGACAAGGATCTATGTATATATAGCTGTACACACTGTACATGTGATTACAAGACAATGTGAGAATGTCATTGTGCATGTTTCTTTTCATATCACTGTGTACTGTTTCTTTTCATATCACTGAGCCAGAAAGAATGAAGCAATGTTTGGTTGAGGTCAAAAGGACACAACACTATCTTCTTGCATGTGGAGTATGTGTAAAGACACATACAAAGAAAACCAATAATAGAGTCCTCAAACTTTTAAAACAATCAAATATAGTGAAAAGGAAGAGGCTCTCCAATTCCAGAAGCATCCCCATTAGTAAGACTGTAGTAACATACATTAAATATTGTGGTCACATCTGGGAAGTTGGGTAATTGCTGGCAGCACAAAACATAAATGCTTCTCACCTTGAGGATCTGCTGGAGTCCAGAACGCATCAGCTCGCTGCGGATGTGAACTCTGAAGTCAAGTTCATCTGCTGGGATTATTAGGGCATTGATCAACTGTAGACAGACTACCTAGGAAAACATTGTAGAGAGATTTAGATTCAGACCATATCCATACAGTCTCATCTCTAGGAGCAAGCAGGAATAAAGTCATTTAATGTAATAATAAACTGTTGCCAGTAAAAATAAATTGTTGCTTTGCTGGAAAATCTCAACTACTCTTCATTCAGAGAAAATAAGCAGAAAAGTTCAAGAAAACACTCCTTTTAAATCCATGTTCACCTTTCCTTCCCACACATTGTCCTCTGACAGACAAATCTTGAAGGTCAGGAGAAGTGCTTCAAATATAGCACTTTGTGCGATCTTTATAGCCAAAACCACAGGGGAATATGCTTTCAGTGTGGATATTCTACAAACCTCTATTTCAGGTCCTACCTTTAATGCCACTGAGGTACCACTCTTCAGGCCATCCAAGATAGGTTTAAATCGTTCCACTTCGTCCATTTCTGCTCGCTCTGTCAATGCCCCCAGCACTTGTTCATGCCTACCATAGAAGCGAGGAAAACAAATCAGTAGCAGCTTCTTTGACAGTGCAATCCTAGGTAATAACTTAGAATTGCTGCTATATAAAATAAATTTACACCACAGTAAATATGTATAGAAGTTCAATCTTCTTCATATCTGCATTTATGCCTGTGGATCACATAAATGTCTTCTACACAGATGTCACCTGCAGGCTGGCAGGTTCTGTATACATTTTTGGGCATTTGGGTTTTGGTTTCGTGATGGGAGTTAGACAGCACGAAACTTTTGAAATGAACTGTGAACACAGAAAATCATGGGAAAGAAAAATATAATGGTTGTAATGCTAAAGGCAGACAAATGTCAGCATTCTGTAAGAAGCAAAGACCACCAACACTGAAGTGATTATTCTCCGCCATCAACTTTGCCACGTTTTCCAAATGCCTTCCAGCGCATTTACTTTATTCTCAGCTTAAGAGAATGTCAGTGGAAAGTCAAAGAGATTTAAAGATCAGCTTTAAGTGGTACAAACACTTCACTGGGAAGCCCTGGCACTGGAGCATTCTATGTTTTATTATGCTTTTATTTTAATCTGTCTGTATGATTTCTTCTTAGCAATTTAATGTTTTGCTTTATATGTTGGAAACCACCCTGCGTCCCTTTGGGGAGATAGGACAGTATACAAATAAAGTATTATTATTATTATTATTATTATTATTATTTGAAACATAACAAGATTAGTGCACAGCAAACAAGGGCACTCTGCTGGCTGTTGTATTGGATCACACATCAGACACTTCCCAAGCATCTAGGACTGTGTGATGTATCGGCAAATAATGCGTGCAGATCCAGTAGGACGACCTTTTGCAGCTGACAGATGATAATTTTGTCAGCACCGATTGTGTGCCAATGTCTTTAGGCACTGCACCCAGTGTGCCGATCACCATTAGGACCACATTTACTGGCTTGTGCCGGAGTCTTTGCAGTTTGATCTTCAAATCGTCATATCGTGTCAGCTTTTCCAGTTGTTTCTCTTCAATCCTGCTGTCCCCTGGGATTGCAACATCGGCAATCTGTACTTGGTTTTTTAACACGATCGTGAGGTCAGGAGTATTATGCTCCAAAACTCTGTCAGTCTGAATTCAGAAGTCCCAGAGTAGTTTAACGTGTTCATTTTCTGTAATGTTTTCAGGCTTGTGATCCCACCAATTCTTTGTTGCAGACAGATGGTATTTGTGACACAAGTTCCAATGAATCATCTGAGCAATAGTATTATGCCTCTGCTTGTAGTCTGTCTGCGCGATCTTCTTGCAGCAGCTGAGGATGTGATCTATTGCTTCATCTGCTTCCTTGCAGAGTCTACACTTGGGATATGTCGTTGACTTTTCAATTTTGGCTTTGATGGCAATTATTATTAGTATAACTGGAGGTCAGCTAAAATCACGTTTGTTCACAAATTTCCTTCTACATTTGCTTTTCAGATCCAAACCACTGTATTGCTCCCCTGAATATTAAGATATACAGTTCAGATACAACAGTTTTTAATATACTGAGTGTTAAAAGTTCCCAGGTGCCTTAAATCACACTTTTGAGAAAAATGATAAACCACGTGTAGTCACTTACATGTCTACAGGCTGTGGCAAGATACAGAGGGCTGAGAGTAGTTTGATAGCATCAATCATCATGGCAGGGACTTTGGGATCCACTGATCTTGCCAAAAGCAGTATCCCATCTTCAGTTTCAAGCATTGTTTTAATTCCAAACTAAAAGAGAGCACATAATGAAATACATGTACTTGTAGTGTTAATCAGACAGGATGGTGGCACATAAGACAGTAACACAACTGTCAAAGAACAGACCAAGAAACGGATACAAGAAAAAGTAGAGAGGATCTAGATCACAAAGAGGAGAAATATTCAAAGGTGATACTGAGACCCTGAAGCACATAATGGGGGGTGGGGGGGAGAGAGAGATCTCAACTGATACTATCTGTCATTCTGAGCAGGATCAAACATGGGAAAAGGCTAACTAGGGACTGGGCATTTATAGATGGGGCTAATCATTCTCGAAAACAAGGTTGGATGAAGCCATGGCAGGGGGATCTCTCCCAGTTTTGCCCACCTCACTTTTCTGTAAAGCATTAAGCAAAGCTGGGGAATTAGATAGTAGAGTTGCACTGGTTTACTGGGATTCTCTCTTCCTCACCAGGTGCTCCATTTCACAATTATCTGTGTTTCAAAGTATCTGAAGGTAAGTGGCTGGGCTAGAATAGGAATTCTGTTGGTGTTACCCACCACGCAGCTCAACAGTCTCTCATGCTGAGCTGATTGAATTGGCCCTGGGTTTGGTGTTGAAGCACCTCCCCACCAACTTGCTGTCTTGGGAGAATTTCACAGCTGTACTGAGACCACCCTTTCAGAAGAACTTCTGGACTTCATGTCTTTCATAATGACCTTGATCCTATCCCAAGTAATATCTGGTAATGCCCACATAGTTTTCTTTGCTGTGTGCAGTGACAATGATCAGTGTACAGAGGAAACTTCAAATGTTCCACTGTCATGGAAGATCACTATTAGGTGTGGTTTAGACTCACTGGGATACTGAACCTCTGTAGAGGTGGGAAGCCAATTAAGAGAGTGCTCCCCAGAATATTTGTAATAATGGGTTGCATTCTGACATTCTGACTTATTTCCATTTCTGGTGTTCCTGCTTCTGCTATTTGATCTTTTGTTACTTGTTTGATTAACATTGCTTATCATTTTCTTCTCTCTCCTTGTCTTTCTCTAGCAACCTTCATATTCTTATTTTCAAAGAATTCCACCCATTACATCTTTGAAGCCTCTCTTCTTTTCTGACACTATTTTTACTGAAAGCCAGCATATCTATTACTGTAGCCTCCCCTCGTCTATTCTTCCTTGCCGTTGCCAAAAACTGAGGTAATTCTGAACCATATATTTATCTGGCATACCAGTTCTCTAAATTAAAGAGAAACCAAAATATTTACCCTAAGTCTCAACTATGGTTACTTCATTCTCTTCCCATCTTTCTTTTTAATTTCCTGAGGCTGTGACTGGCTTTTTGTTTTAAATATAAGCACTCAGCTATGTTTATTGCTCATTTTGAATCAGTTTTCTAAAGTTTGCTTACTGGTTCTAAAAATAACTGGAATGGCAATGCACAAGTATCTACATGAAGAAGATAAGAAACTCACCTTATTGTTCATGAAAGCTTTTAAGCACCTAATGATCTCATGTTTGATCCGGGTGTCATATGGCCTGAATGGGAGGGAAGAAAAAAAGCAACCTGAATGATTGATAGTCCTGTACAATGAGGTATCACGTATCAAGGCAGGTTCCCAATCCCCATAATATCCAACAGGTAAAGCACCAGAGTTAAACCATGTAAAATAATGTTTCTTGATTCTCACGCAGGAATAGGGTAGTCCCACTACAGGCTATACCAGTCCCTACCAAAAACTAAACAAAGTGTACTAGGTTTTATGAACTGGGGATGGGGAGAAACAAGGCACAGAAAGGCTCTCTAACTTATATTATATGATGGTTAACTGACCATTGGAGGGTTCCAGGATCAGTCATTTTAGGCTTATTTTCTTTCTGTGAAACGGCATTGTGATGTTTTCGAGTTATGTAAAACGTTATGTTTATTAGAGACATTAATGTAGAGTATGGTCACATATGTAACAATAAATGTAATAAGCTTAGATCTGTTGGAAAGGGGATGAGCATATTGAGTGTTGGGAGTGACTGACTGGCTGAGTGTTTGAACGGGATTTTAAAATCATTGGTGAAAGCTGGGAGGCCAGAGAGAATGGGAGACAAGATAAGAGAGAGTTAGAAATATAAATCAGAAATATGAGTTAGTGTCATTCAGGCTTTATTTTTTTCAAGTAAGTAATTTAACTACATTTTTGTTAAATAATTTATTTTTGGATTACACACTGACGTCTCTGAAAATGCTACGTAATAGTTATTTGAATGTTTGAGATGAGAAACATGGCGTTTGTGGTGGCATAATTTATTCCAGGATGCTAATGCTCCCTGGGTGAGATTAGATGAATAAAGTCTTTCACAGAAACAGGCAAAAAAACATAACTGTTGGTGACAAATAGTAAAAGCTGTCAGAGGTATCAGAAAGGTTGAAAAAGAACTCTAGGGCTACCACAGCAGTCAATATGGGAAGAAGACACAGACCACATGATTCCCATCCCACTCTATTAGAAATTAATGGAAAAGAAGAGGGCACGGGGAAGAAAAATGTTTGGTTGTGATTATTATTTGTTTGCAAAATATTCTTGGTCTAAGTCTGAGCCACCAATGAACGGCTCACTAAGCTTCACCAAAGCAAGTTTACACCACAGTTTATACTTACACCCAGAACAAGGTCAATCTATAAGTCCATATATATTTCTTAATTTAGACCTCGGAAAATATAGTCTCTTACCCCAAAATGTCATCTTTCTCATCATGAAGTCCTTTCAATATGTCCAGCAAGCAATTCAGGCCTTCTGCTCCAAAATTTTGCACCCAGCTGAAAGGATTATACAATTAAAACCCAACAGCTGAGTATATAAACAGCAACATTTTGCAACCACTGTGTTTTCCCTCTGCACTTTGGTTCTATTTCCCTATACATACACCTTAGGATCTGCAGCATCTGAGTCCAGTCAGCTCTTTTGGGAAAATGGACTGAGCAGAAACTTTGGTTCTAACCCCGCTTCTCTAACCCTGCAATAAGGCCCATGAAATGCAGTATCAGCAATATCACACAGACTTTTGGTCATCCATGTATCACAGCTGTGAATATGAAATCAGACACTTCTGTGATATGTTGATACAGTTCCTCCACTTTGATCACTAGCCATAAGTGATGTTGTTACAACCTTGCTAACAAGTAAAACAGGGATATTTCAATATCAGTTAATACAAGTGAGATTATGCTAATTGGTAGGAAGCAATAAATTTATTTATTTATTTAAAACTTTAGTATCCCGATCTTCTCTACCTCTGTAGAGGGACTCAAACCAGCTACGTAGCCTATATATGGAGGCTATGTAGAAAGAAAAAAGAAAATATAAAAACATTAAGCCTTATTTATTCTGATTTATTGGTTAATATCGGCTAACATTTTCAAAGCTGTATAAAATTCGTCTGTCAAATGAGTTGTTTTATGGTTGTGGATTACTGTCATTTTTACATATATCACCTGTTTATGCCTCAACCTTTGTTTTATGATGACAGCATTTGTTGTGATCACAAATAATACATTTACTGCACAGTTTACCTGACAGGATTATTGTTGAGTGATACACGCAGAGACTCCAAACAATTAAGAAGTTGTGCATCTCTGAGACCAGATTTTAGTTCCTGGATATTCATCATAGGAGATTTGGAGCTCTCCTTTTGGCTCATTCCCTGCAAATCAAAGAACAATGGTGGTCACATAACATGGCAATAGAGTCAGGACATAAAAAGTGGTGGATCAAGAACTGTATATCACATATTTTCATTTTTAGCAAACGTTCAGAGCAACAATCTCATAGACTTCTTGTTCCTAAGTAGTATCTGGATACCAGGTTATATACCATTTAGTGGCTAAAATGTCTGTCAGCTGAAAGCCAGAGTTAAAACGTGTCATGTTGACAAAGTCAGAAAACTACAAGCAAAAGTTGATGCTTTAAAAGACATATATCCAGAATGCTGTGAAATACTGTAAGATCAGATAGGTGACTAGCTTGAGATTGCAGGTATCATACACAGTCCTGCCTTACATGCAAAATTGAGCATCTGTACAATCTATACACAAATTCATATGTAAAGGGGGTCCCATTTGTTTATACAGACATTTCCTGATGACAGCCCACCTATGCTTTTACCCACTAAAAAGGCAAGGGAGAACACCTAATCCTTGACGGATTAATACACAGCTGATACATTCAAGCTCCCTGTTTAATGAAGAGTATAAATAATTATTTTGAATTGTTCATAAAAGTACTTACTTTTCTACGCAGAATAAAAGTTAAAAGATTCAAAACTTTGAAGACTGAATAAGTGTGTCAGCAGGGGAAAATCCTAATAACAATTTCTTTAATAATGAATTGAAAATGGGAGGAAACTGTGGAAATTATTTAGATAGAATGGTGCTTCAAAATAAAACAAAAATAGCAGAGGTGGAATGCAATGAATTAGTTATCCATAACTAAAGATAAATTAAGATGTCTCCCCTCAAAAACTTTTCTGCTGCTACACAACCCTCTGTTTGAAGGCAGTTATTGGCTTCAGCCTATAAAGTAGCTGCTGTGTGAGGGCAGCAGCCTTCAGCTCTCACTTTCATTGCCTAATCTAACTGGTGCATTGTATTCTCTATCCTGCTTCAAATTTCCCACTGACATTTGGAACCAGTTGATTAAGAAAATAACTTCTCAGAATCTCCCATGGCAACTCCTTAGAGAAAAATAGTTGTGCTTCAGGCAGTGCTTGGAGGACCAAAATCCAAAGCTGACCACACCTCACAGGAATCCCTCATCTCTTCCTTGCAGTCTTATGTTCCCAACTCCAGACAATAAAAGAGTATCCACTGGGATATATCAGGCAATACCAAATACCAGTACTATTCTCTGGGAACAGAGACAGTATGGCCTAAATCTCTGGGAGCAGAGATAGTTTGTCAAACTCATTGTCATTCATTCTCACATTCTCTCATAATCAGCCTTATGGTTGCCCTCAAAGGACCATTTAATTCATAGATGGAGAATCCACGGATACAGAGGGCCACCTATAATTATTCTAGATAATGGTCCATGCTTTTAGTTTTTACCCAGGTTAGGTCCCTGTGTGTTATTGATGAATGACTCTTATCTTATTTTGATCATCTGCCATGTGGACTGGGGAATAATAGAAATTGTGATCCAACAGCACTTGTGGCTCTGAAGTTGGGGAAAGGTTGAAGGATGTTTTATAGCCAGACGTCATAGCCACAAGTCTTGAATCTAAATTCAATCTCCACTATCCTTATTAAGTAGAACAAAATGCAGCCTTCCAGATGTTACTGTATCACAATTCCCATCTGCTCTAGTCATGATGTTTAATCATGAAGAATACAGAAGTTGTAGTCCAGTATCTAAAATGACATGGTAGGCCTGATTTGGTCCACAGACCTTGAGTTTGACACATGTAGGAAAAGACCACATAAAAACCATTTAAAAAAGATTTCCTTCTCTGACAAGTGTTTGTTTGTTGACATTTATTTACAACTCTGTTTACACTATATGTCTTCATTATATTTTGTAATGTTATTGTACTTTAGTTTGGTTTTACTGCTCTGTGTGGTGTAAATGCCAAAAGGGAAGATGAAGGTTTTTCTTTATATAAAGCAAAGCAAAGCATGGAGAACTTTCACAAGGTTGTGTCAGTGAATAGCTACACCTGCTAGATTTTGGCAACAAGTGTGTCTTAAACAATACAAATGTGGGAATGTGCCAGAAAAAAATTGTCAAGGAACCATACATTGTGCATATACTGCCGGATATAGTAAAAAAAGGATGAAAAACTGTATGATGAAAAGAGGAGAGGAACATTATAAAGAGAACACCAGATGTTATAGGAATATAGCAAGGTCTTTACCAATTAAAGAGGAAAAGTGGAAGGGGCAGTGAAATCTAGAAGCACCTTGAAGCCTACATGATTTATTTTAGCATGACCTTTTGTGGAATTCAGCCCACTTTTTCAAGTGTGCTTATAAAATGTAGTGTTAAGCCACAGGCAATTAAGAAGAGCTGTGGTTATCACAGTCATCACTGTAGCCAAACTAGCTTGAAGATTTCCAAGCAGGCGGGTTGTTTACTAGACTTTCCAGTTTGGATAGTGAAAGATATTGGAACAGCACCAGATCAGATGAGAGCTTTACTTAAATCAAATATTATGCTTATAAGAGACAATCAGATGTACTTGGGAATACCACAAAGTAAAACATAAAGTCACCTTATACAACTTAAACCCAGAAGCTCTAACTTAGTAACATGTCTCTAAAACAGTGTTTCTCAAACTGTTCTCCTCCAGGTGCTTGGGACTTCAGATCCCAGAAGACCCAGCCAGTTTAACAGCTATTAGGAATTGTGGGAGTTAAAGACCAAAACATCTGGAGGAGCACAGTTTGGAAACTCTGTTCTAAAAGATGGTGGCCTACAAATGACATGAGTAGCAGCCATACTTAGCCCTAACTTCCAATAGAATCATACAGTTGAAGAGGCCACAAAGGCGATTAGCGTCTATTCTGGGGTACTAGACGGCTTTTTAGGCATGTAAAACCTTATAAAATTTTGGGGGTCGTCTAGTACACCAATATAAAATTAAAATAATAATAAAATTACTGATAGAGCTTCTTGATGTGGAGGGCCTTGGCCACGGGCTCCCCTCCTCCTCCTCCGCTGCCTTGGCTCATGGCAGCCTCCCAGGCAGGTGCCCCATCCTTCCTCTTTTCCTGGCTGCCACGCTGGTCAGGCCGCTCTCCATCTTCCTGGCCAGGCCTCGCGCAAAGCGCCTGTTCTCCCGCAAGACAATGTTGTCTCGCAGGAGAAGAGGCACTTCCCGCAAAGCCTCGTCAGGAAGAAGGAGAGCGGCCTGAGCAGCGCCAGAGGCCCTTCTGGAGGCGGCGCAGGGTTTGGGGACTCATCTTAAACAGCGAGTATATCCCCAACTCTCTATTTTACATGCAAAAGTTGGGGGGTCGTCTTATAGCCCCAGTCGTTTAATACCCCGGAATATACAGCATTGCTCCCCACAATAAAAGAAAGAACAATGCTACATGAAGTTTCCCTTTTCCAATAATAAAGGCAAGTAGAAGATTTGTGAGAAAAACATGCAGTGCAGAAACATAGTATGAGAAGATTTTTGCAACACACACCACAATCATGCATTACTTTAGTAAACCTAAAAAAGAATTATTTTTGTTATTCAGCATTACATACACAGATAGTTTGCTTTTGTTGTTCAGTTTTTTAAATTTAATAAGCATCCCAACTGTAATACCTGGCAAACAAAAAAAGTGTCCAGATACGAGCATTACAGATACTTACTTGTAGATTTCAAATTATTGTGTTATTTCAAATACTTATTACAGCAACATTCTATTCCCGTGCATTATTTTAAGTAGCATATCATCAGAAACAAGAAAAGAATTCCTAGCTCAACTGGCACAATCCATAAGAAAGGAAGATGTCAACAGTTGTAAGCAGAGTTTGAAAAGCAAATTTCAGCTATTGGTTGTGACTATAGTTTCCTGCCCAACTTCTGGAAAAAGGAACTTATTATAAGAAACCCACTATATAAAATCTTGGCATAGTGTAAATCCAAGTTTTCAGATATAAAACAAAATATGCATTCCTAATGCGGAGAAAGTCCCTGGAACTGACCAGTAGAGGCATCTTCAGCACAATGAGAATCCTGGCCAGTTGTTATTTCAACAGGGAAATGTGGGGTGAGGGGTTTCAAATGGGATTGGACATATCAGTTGGATTAAAACCTTAAAAATATATTCCAGAATACAGTAATATATTGCAAACACTACTTGGTATGTTTGGATTGTGTCCTCTAATTGCCTTAATAAATGTATTACAATACTATGGATTTTATAATGCTTATGTTGCATATATACTATGCCATAAAGAAAGCTTTGTTTTATACTGGTTGATATCCCTTATCTGAAATGCTTGAGACCAGAAATATTTTGGATTTTTTCAGATGACAGAATATTTGTATTTGCATATACAATGTAAGGTATCTTGGAGAAGGCACCCAAGTCTAAACATGAAATCCATGTATGTTTCATCTACATCTTATGCACATAGCCAGAAAATAAATTTTATACAATATTTTGATTCTTTTGTGCATGAAATGAAATTGTGTGTATTGAACCATCAGAAAGCAATGGTATTGCTATCTTGGCCACCCATGTGGACAGTTCTGGATTGTTGAGCATTTTGGAATCCCAGATAAGGAGCATTCAACCTATAATACCCTACTTCTCTTTAGAGATTGGTTGTTTATACAACATTTCACTTCTGGCTATTAAAGTGGCATTTTCAGCATTCCAAGATAATGACTGCATAGAATAACACAGAACTACAGCAAAGGAGTTCACCACCACATACCAAGCACACAAATGAAATGAAAAGGTAATTACAATGTTTAGACATCACATGAAGACACTGTTAATCATGAATAACATGAGTGTGGGATTCCTGCTCCTCTTTAAAGGCCTAGAAATTTCTGCTTCCCTTTTAGATCAAATTCTAAGCTACTAGATTTTAACAGTCCCTTCCTTATTCCCATGAAATGGCGAATAAAACTGTGCTATACAACCCAAAGGACAAGGTGAGTGACTCCATATCTTTCATAGAGGCCCTGTCTACAAGGACTAAAAATCATACTCACTTTATATTGACCTTTATCCTGACACATGGTATTTGTGACAATTCACATCCAAACTTGTGTTTCAATTACTTTTAAAAAATTGCCTTTTACCTACCAATCTCGGCAGAGATCCAAATGAGTTCCAGAGGTTTTGAGTGTGGCCTTTTCCAATGGGAAGGTTTGTATTGGTGGATAAGTTCAGAGTGGCCCAAATTGGTTGATGGGAGGTGACAAGGGCAAGCAGTGAAGCAGCCATAAGCCATCAATAATGAGAATTGGAGGAGTTTTTTTGCAAATATGATCATATTGAGATGAGATCGCCCCAGGGGAGAGATGTGGCTGCTTAAGTCTAACTTGCCATAATGTTATCACTGCATGCAATGTGATCACACTAATAGGGCAAACATGGGGACCCGTGAAACCAAAAAATATAGGGTAAATACATGTGGTTTCCCCCAGGTGTACTCAGGTCTAGATTGCTTAATCTCTTTCCAAATCTGAAAAAGCATTTTTAAAACAATTCTTTACATCAAAACAAGGATGGTTGATCCCTACTCAAAAGACAAACTCTAAAAGTATTCTGTGGGTTGTTACACTGCACTTCAGCTTTCAAGGCCAAGAACTCACCGCTTTTGAAGTGTGCAGGTACTGGGAGACCATCTCTCTCTTGATGACAATATCCTTCTCCCTCAGAGGCTGCTGTTTTTCCTCATTGAGATTCATATCCACCTATTTGAAAAGCAAAAGAAAATGTCTTATTATGCAAAATAACTGTTGTTATAAATTAATGTTCATAAAATCTCAAGAGGGAAACACCCTTATCTTTTGCCATCAATGCTTCACATCTGATAGCCTCTTTCTCAGATTAATTTTAGTTTTTCAGTTTTGCTTTTCTGTAGGGGATAAGATTCCATCACCCTAAGAGCAAGGAAATTTCTGGAATCCTAGTGGTGATTTAGGTCGTACATGGGTAGAGATGGTGTCAACACAGAAATATAACCAAAGTGGGTCTCTTCCCTTGCTAAGCTTTCTTTCAGCCTTCCTTTACTCATTTTTGAAACATCATTTGTGCCATCAGGCAAAGATTCAGTTTGCAGGTTCTCCAGTTTAATGGCTCAACTCACTTCATCTGAGGTAACAAACTACTAATTCCCTTTTGTGAATGCATCATGATGTGTTCTTCTGCTTTAGAAAAATGAGTTACAAACATTCGCCTTACAAACAACTTACAGTCAAGAACGGGGGTGAGACAACAGGAAGTGAGAGAAATCTACCCCTAACAAGGGAAATTCACAAGAGTTTTCATGGAAAAGGGGACAGTGAAGCTTTCTCACCAATCCTTCTTTCTAAAACAAGCCAAATTTTTCAAAATCCAATTATCCCAAGGAACAAAAATGGGATTAACTCTTCCAAATAGAGGCATAGACAGCAAACAACAAAACAAAAAAAGTGCATAGGTGTTAACCCTTCCCTGTGCTAACCTATCTTGTTTGCAACTTGGTACTGCCTGTACTAAATTGAAGTAGTAGTAGTAGTAGTAGTAGTAATCATCATCACCATCATCTTTATTTGTATCCTGCCCCCTCTCCTAAAAGGGACTCAGGGCAGCTTACATCACCCAAATATTAGCAGTAGAAAAAGAAGATAATTTAAACAACTTACCAGCATCTGCTCAAAGAGGACTAGCACATCTTCATCTGAGATTTCCTGAAGCAGCTGACCTGAAACATCTGAATATGAAGCAGAGGAATTCCTATGCGCCGCATTTGATTTTTCCTTCTCCTTCTTTATCCTCATGCTTGTGAATCTCTCAAGCTGATAAATAAATGTGGAAATTCAAAATTAATTAATTTTGCTTACAGAGTCGATTTAACCTCTGCATTTTAACCTACATTTTATTAGTATTAGTGTCAGTCTTGGTTATGTATATTTTAATATATGCATTTTAATATAATTATATTTTATCTGTCTATTTTAATCATGTTGTATCCCACTTCGAGCTATGAGGAGAGATGGGTAACAAATAAACAAATATGTTTTTAATTAAATGTAGAAATTCTGTTACTTTCATGCCTCATAATAATAATAATAATAATAATAATAATAATAATAATAATAAATAATGATGAATGTATTGATTACCTGAATGTTTTGAAGGTATTTTTGATATTTTTGAAAGTACTATAAAATATTATTATATTTATGTTTATTTATATCCCATTTTTTCTCTTTACAAACAATACTCAAAGCAGCTTACAATCAATTCAATACAATTTAAAAACTGCAAATATATAAACAATAAAATAGAATTAAACATTAATGTTATTAAGAATAAACAGTTAAATTCCTTAAAACTGATTAAGAGCTTAAAACAAATAATGTCTAATGATTGTAATTTCACAATCATTAGACATCATTGAAAAAGCAGTTTTGTAGAGTCTTGGAGCAGATGAATATCAAAGTATTTCATACATAGAGAGACTAAACTGAGTAATAATCAGGTCTTTTAAAATGTATTATCACTATGTTTTAGTCATTTTTGTTCTGAGCAATTGAAGCAGAAGCCAAAATGTTTTGCTAATAAATTCATACAGTTCTATTGGTTAATCACTCTAATAAATATTTGAAGTAATTAAAAGCATCCTTCCAGAACAAACTTTTCAGAAATACTGTTCTAAATCACCTATAGACAGATAGACAGGCATCACTATGCTACTGTACAAGAAAAGAGGGGGACTTACAATCCAAAAACTGAAACAATGCTTGTCTTTTATGGCCTCTTGGCAAGACTCTGCATCTACGGGTGCTTCTACAATTTCTAATTAATGCAGTTTGGCACCACTTTAACTGTCAAGGATCAATGCTATTGAATCCTGGGAGTTGTAGTTTTACAAGGCTGTTAGCCTTCTCTGCCCAATGTTTTACAAGATAAGACAAAGGAAAGTTATCAAATGGCCAATGGTTAAATACAGATAGATGTAAGTTTCATCAGTGTAATTTTGGATCAAGTGAAATTTCTTAAACACTTCTTTAACCATAAGTAGAGAAGGTACAGTAATAGAGACTAGAAGACATTACTTAAGTATCAGTGAAGTTGACAAGATCTGTCTTCTTCAATGAAAAATGCAACTGGTAAAAGGAGCCTGTAGTTTTCACCACCAACTGAGCACTCAGAAGCACCAAAACATCAAATCATACTTCCATGCTGTAAACCGAAATTTTATGAGGATTGCAACCCCATACAAACAGCTGGCATCTGACTTCGGCTCTCCTTTCATCTTATCTAGATTTTAATTTTTTTCCACTCAAATTCAGTTTCTCTTTGTTATCTAAATGATTGCTCAGGGTTTCCTACCATCCCAACATGCAAGAATGTGCAAACATACTAGGCGCCATCAGACTATTGCTGACATTTTAGACTAAATTTTGCAATGATCTCGCATGGTTATAAAACAGAATAGTGGGCAAGATGGGTATATATGGCTCCCTTTAATCTACTATCCGTATCAGTAATCCATGACCTATTTTTTAAATATATATGTATGTGTGTGTGTGTATTCTAAGAATGTAGATATGACATCCTTCAGCTCGATTCTCACAAGCGAGCTCTGGATAATATCATGGATAGTAATATTAAAGACCTCTAAGAAGTTCAGAATAATTAACAGGCTTGTCTATTTCCTGATGCAGATTATCCATTAGGACTGCCACAATTCCTGACTCATAAGAAAGGAAATTACACAGTTTACTCAGGCAAACCTGGAATCAGCATCAACATGTCAGGAGGGACATGCTTCAGAGTCTTCAAGAAACCACATAAATAAGCCTTTGGGATGGATGATTTGGAACACCCTCTTATTGTGAATCCTGCAGAACACTTAGATTTAGCTCTCATAAAAATATGTCCTCCTCCCTTCCCAACTGCCTTGAAATATCATGTGCAGATGATAAACAATTGCTATCAGTTGTTAATGAGGTTCCTAAGAAATCATCCTAGAACAAATATCTGGGGCCTCAGAGAGGACATAGGTCTGTAACCAGCATGAGAGGCAGCGCTGCAGACAGAGTTCAGTTTGTTTTGTTTCAAAAGGCAACAGACAAAGACAAACATCCACATAAGTCTTGCAAGAAGGCCTGCATGAATGAGGGTCATTGTGTGACACTCTGAAAAGGCAGTTAACATACTCTATCAAAGCAAGTGCTTGGTGCAATGACATGCCAGAAAGAGAGCATGATCAAAAAGCTGGCAAGAGAAATATAGCAAAGTGGGAAGCATTTAAGTATGTCCCATCTATCCCTGTTAAAACCTTAGTCTTGACAGTTTGGTATTTCAAAACACTTTTCATGGACACACTTGTATCGAGACCATTTTACAATAACAGAGTCTAGAAATTATCAAATCATCTGTGACTATATTCCACCCTGTACTCTCCAATAAAGGATAGAGCTTATAGGAGGCACATTTAATCACTACTGTCACTCAAGCACTCAGACTAGCACCAGAGGAAGCAGCACTCCTAAGATGCAAACCTGAACATTAAATGGGGCTGCTTATGCCAGGTAGCATTGATCCGATAACCAAAATGGGTTTAATATATTCAAAAGACACGAAGTCTCAGTTTATTCACCCACAGGCACTCTTCTCTTTATTCTCTAATTCAGGATTACAACAACAACAACAACAACAACATCTTTATTTTTGTATCCCGCCACCATCTCCCCACAAATGGACTCAGGGGGAGGGGGGGTTACATGGGGATCAAGCCCAATTAAACAGAGATTAAAATATAACACAGTAAAAAATTACAAATACAAAACATCATAAAACATAACAATCAACAACAACCAATAGCCTAACATAGTTGTCATATATTAAGCTAAGGGGCAAGGCTGGGGCTTGTGCAAAACATTTGTGCAAGATCTCCTAGGATCTTGATATGTGTGGACATGCACACATTCATGAGAGAGAGAGCACATGAACATGCAAGTGCATCATAAGGTTACTTTAAATATTTCTTGCTCATTCCATCCAGCTGGGTTGGGATGAATGTTCAAACTGGTAGGATGCATGATGAATTCTTGTGATGCCCTGTAATTCAGTGGCCAATGGGCAAAGCAGCAATTTACATTACGGTTGTGTTTCTTTAGCCCTACATTTTAGTATGAATGAAAGCACAAAAATTCGGTGCTCTTCAGCCCTGCTTCCAAAAGGTATCAAAAGAGGGTAGCAAAGCATTCAATACCACTGTGAAGTCCAAATGATTTTTTTTTATTCTACCCTCTGTTTTATGGTTGAGGCTATCTAGTGTGGCCAAGACAATTTCTCTCCTATAAGCAAATCTGAACTCAACCTGAAAGAGAATTCAATTTGTGCAAGAAAATTATAATCAGATATCCACTGAAGATTCCTTGCAACAACAGTCAGAATAAATGAAAAACATGGGGAGGACTACATCTGTTTAAAAAGCAGTTAAGACACTATCAAAGCTAGCACTCGATGCAAGGTAATATGTACATGGCATACCAACAGAAGTCACCATCAAGTAGCTAGCAACAGAAATGGAAGCATCCCCACGCAGAATACATGGTGGTGGAAAATGTGAGAAGTAATATAGACAATGTCAAATAAATAATTGAAAGTGATCATTCTTACCTCATCTGCCATCACCCTTTTCAGATTCTGTGATTTGAGGAAAGAAAAGGAGAGAAACTTGAATTAGTAACACAAGAAAAATCCAAGCAGAAAACAAAAAAGAGTAGGGAATTAGAGTATTATCTGATTTTTGCATATTCTCTTCTTGACTTGAGAAGACCCAAATGTGTATTTATTGTCCTCTGGTGCCACAAAATATGTTTCAGGGCCAGAAATTTATGTTCATAAGTTGATTATGGAGAGATGCACCAGTATGTTCAAAACCTCCTCCCCTACACAAAACACCTATACAGGAAAATGTAAAGATAGCAACAAGGCCTTTCTGTGGAACAATCAAACTGTATTGGAGGTGTGTGTGAATATAAAATGGATGAAGAAATAGGAAGAGGTACTGAGATGTCTCACTTGCAAGGAAAGACCTAGCATTTTTTAAAACCCATATAATTAAAAAATCATCCATAACACAAATAATTCAGGAAACACTAACTGCATTGTACTTAGTGTATTTATCAACTACTTCAGAGAAAGGAAAGACATATAATGACAAAAGGTATCTATCTGACAGACATTAACATTTCTTAATAACTTCAACGGAAAGGAAGTTACATTTACTCTTTATACTTAATAAGATCCTGAACATTGTCAGCCTACCACAATTTAAAAAATATTCATACTAAAGCCTAAATCTAATCATTGCACTAGCAAAGCATAACGCCACCTCTGCCCTGCCCTCTATGCTCCTGCTTCCAAAACCCCAAAATCCGGTCCTCTCAGCTCAGTGTTGGAGTCATGAAAACTTTGGCAAGAGTAAAAGGCTTCTGGACACCACCCATTTAAATGACAATATGCAGTCTTTATAGTGGGGTCTGCAGAAAATGTTTCAGTAAGCCTTGTCAATGATAATTTATTTTTAGTAAATGTTTGATTTTTATACCTATTTTATATACCTATATGCCTTGGGGTCACATAAAAGATGTTGAGAGAAGTTCCCAATCTGTTTTCCATGGAGCCCTAGGATTCCACAAAAGCAGAATAGGGGCTGCACAAAATCTTTAAAATCTTTTTAAAAATCCATGCTGGGGTATTAAGATTGTATTAACATTTAGTGTAACACTGCTTTAAAAAGGACATTTTAATTTCTTAATTTCCAAACCTACTACATTATACAAAACATCCAGATGAAAGAAGGAAGAACCTTGTGAATTCACAATGTTTAGAGGCAGAGTAAAGGTTCTGTGGGAAATTCAGGGACAGAGTTAGAGTTCCACAAGAAAAAGAAGTCTTCTGAAGGGTTCCATGACCAAAAAAGCCTGGAAACCACTGCTTTAAGACATCTAATGTCTGTTCTAGAGCACTGCTTCTTAAACTATGGGTGCCAGTTCCATATAATGTCGAAGTCCTGAAAAAAATGGACAACTGTAAACGTTTTCTAAATGTACAGTGTTTACAGTGGATTCTACAGACGATGCTTCAGCTGTACTTCATAAAAAGGAAACTCAGCCTGTTTAGCAAGCCTTGCAAATGCTGGCTTATCAGTTTTTTAGTTTAATTTTAGTTTATTCGATGCTTAGACCATAGGCCTTTCACATATAAGGCAAATAAGTAAATACATGAAAACCAGATTATTAAATATGATATAAAACACACCATTAAATCCTATATACACAAATATATACACACAAAAAACACATATACACAGACTGGGCCACAGCAACTGTTGGTTACTGTTGGTCAGCAGTTCTGCCGGTGCAAGGGTGGAAATGCCTGAAAGATGTAGAAAGATTCCTAGACTCATTTTGATGGGATGCAGGTAGGCGAAACTGCAGGGGAACAGTTCCACGTGTTGCATTATAAACTAAAGGGAAGGGAAACGATGGCAAGATCATGAGATGCACCGTCCACAATAGACCTAGATAGACAAACATCAGGAAATGTTTGATTTTTATACCGATTTTATATACCTGGAGTAATGTAAAATTTTCTTGGGACAAAGAGGTCCCAAATAGAGACATTTAAGAAGCCCTGTTCTAGAGGTTCTCCATCCATCCACAGCAGGTCCTGAGGACACAAGGAGAGGGAGGGAGGAGAACTGATTTGTGCCTACTTCCAAATTTGGCTGTGTTTTGCATTCATGGCCTTCTTCAACTTGTGCAGCCCCATTCAAATTCAGCATTTCCACCCTCTTTTCTTATTGTTAACTAACTGTCCCCTGCCATGTGTTGCTGTGGCCCAGTCTGTGTACATGTGTTTTGTGTGTGTATATATTTGTGTATATGTGTGTTTGTATGTATGGATATATATATATATATACACACACACACACACACACACACACACACATATATATACATACATACATACATACACATATACATATAGGTATATATAGTTTTGTGCATGCGTTGTAATGTATTTTTGTTGTAATGTATTTTCTTCTGCTGTGTTTTTCAGTGTTTTTATGAGTGATGGTCACGTGTTGGCCTGCTATGTGTATTGTGTCCAAATTTAGTGTCAATACATTGAGTGGTTTTTGAGTTTTGTCAATCAAACAAATAAACATTACATTTTTATTTATATAGATGTATAGGCCTAGATGTAACATTTTTCATTGCTCAGTTCAATGCAATGTGCTTTTTCTTATGCCATACTTAATCATAACATTAAAATGAGATTTAAAGCATATGATGAACTGTTCTCATTAAAATCAGTGGAGCTCCAAAGTGCTTCACTTTGATTTTAAAGTATCTGCATTATGTAAATATTTGCTTATCACAGGCCAAACTAGCATGAATCTCAATTTTATAAAAGTGCTTTAATTATTCCAGATTGCTGTACAGGGTGAAAATGTGATGGAATTGTACATGACAGTTCTTTATGGTAGTTTAAACTAACTCATTTAAAAGGGACGTAAGACCAATATAGTTGTGAGACTCTGCTTCAGGATTCAAAGTGGTTATTCCACTGATGCAATAGTGTTGTCAGAGGAAGTAGAAAAAGGCAGGTTCTCCTAGACCTCAATTAGGGCTTAGCAGAAAGAACTGAACTGCTATTCAACTGCAGCACTAGAGCTGCCCTATTAGCCAATTGGCAAAATTTGGAGAAAATATGACCAGTTTGTGAAATATCAGATGTAAAAAAATAGAAATCTGGCAGCATGAACTAAAGTAAGAAGCATTACAGATTAAAAACCAAGAATAATCTTCCAGTTTTTAAAAATTATGAACAAACAGCTTCACGATTGATTACTCAAACCTGCTCTTATCACTTTTATATTCTAATCACTTTGTGCCCGTGTCAAAAGATAGCAGGGTGCACAAACTGCAACCCCAGAACATTTAGTCCCACATCCCCATAGGCACTCTGATTCTACTTCCCCTATGCGAAATCCCCAACAATTTGATATTCCATTTTTTTCACCAAATATATGGACATTATTATCCTGATACAGAATCTGCACACTTACACAAAGATCATTCAAAATATATTCTTTCATAACAGGAAAGGCACAGAAGAGAGGAGATTTATCTGTTCTTCATTTTCAAAAACACCAGATCAGCCACTGTATGTGTCCTTGTCCTAGCAATTCTGGGTACAACCTGAAACCTGTATAGCACCTTAGCAGAGCCTAATCCAATTAAGAGTGCCATTTCCTCAGACAATCTGTCTTAAGATTTGACTTAACACAGTCTTTTGGCTACAACACAGCCACTCTTCTATCCACCCCTGTGTACCTTGGTTTGCTAAACTTCCAGCTTGGTAAGTTCTGTCAAACTAAAAAAAAATGCTTATACTTTTTGACATTTTGTTGGTGTTGTAAAGATACTGGATGTTATAATTATCATTTAATGTAGCAATTTTTCTCTACAAATTGTTATCATTACATGGTGTCTACAAACAACAAAAGACATTTGAATGAAGGAGTCCCTGGTAAAAAATAAGGTTTAAGAAATGCTGTTATGACTTGCTTAGAACTTTCACAAAGAAAGGGGGGATATGCAGAAACTTCATACTACATACTATTATTTCTGCACAGCCAACACTGTCACTGTAAGTAGCCTCTATGGCTGGACATACCAAGGTATTATACTACCTGCTTATACCCTCAGACGTCTCAACGCACGCCACTCTATTTACATTTGCTCTTCACTGAAAAGTGGAATATGACATTTCCAAACTTGTCTATGACTAAATAAACTGTTGGGCAGCTTATCTGCACAAGCTAGGGAGAAGAGAGTATACTGTAAACTGTCTCTTCAAATAAAAAGCCTTTAAAAATCTGCATACCTCACCCTGTTACACTTAACAAAACCATGATGTGCCTTGCAACACAGTATGGGTGGATGTGTAACAGTATTTATTTATTTTGACAGAATCAGAATCCTCTGGTCTACCATACCAGATAAGTTACTGTAAATCAAGGGTCCTCAAACTAAGGCCCGGGGGCCGGATACGGCCCTCCAAGGTCATTTACCCGGCCCTCGCTCAGGTCAACCTAAGTCTGAAATGACCTGAAAGCACACAACAACAATCCTATCTCATCAGCCAAAACATCTTCCTATTGAAATACTAATAAGATTATATTTGTCAAAATTGTTCTTCATTTTAATTATTGTATTGTTTTTAAGTGTTTTTTTGCACTGCAAATAAGATATGTGCTGTGTGCATAGGAATTCATTCACGTTTTTTTCAAATTATAATCCGGCCCTCCAACAGTTTGAGGGATTGTGACCTGGCCCTCTGTTTAAAAAGTTTGTGGACCCCTGCTGTAAATGATAGACACCTTGTTTAATACTAAGCAAGTATGGATCTGGTTGGTGAATATGTAGGATATCAGGTATCTTCTACCCATATGACCTTGAGTAACAACATGGGGGAAAGACAGTATCTAAAACAGTGTGCAAATTAGGAATGTGGGCTGAGTAGACACAGCTTTGGAGATCTATGACTTTTCTGTACATTTTGAAAGCTTATTGTTTTTCTATAATAAAATTATTTTATGCTGTGAGCATAGTTCTTTGGAAACTCCA